TGAGTTGAAGTTAATGATAAAAATAAACTACAAAAAAATGCTTAAAAGAAGTGTGGAAAGCTTGAACTTGATCGTTTCAATAGTCGTTGAGAATTTTTAACTACCGATTTAGATAAAGTGGTTTTGTGGAAATTTCGCCATCGTTCAAGCCATGACAAAGAAGGTGGGTTATAAAACTCTCTAATTTCTACAGTTTCTTCTCGATCGACTTGAAACTTGGGGAAAATATTCCTGACACTTTGTACTTTTATACAAATAATTTTCAAAAAAATAAATTTTTTGAAGTTTCAAGACCCCCTCAACGCACGAAGCACAAGAATGTGATCTCCCCACACCCGTGTTATGCATTCTCATTACGCGTGGAACACTTTAATTGTTTTGATTTTTGTTTCCATTTTTAATATGGAATTTTTTAGAATTTCACGTTTCAATTTTGTTTTTTTTTCGGGCTCTTTGAACAGGTTTGGCCTCTCGGTATGAACTAACTAATAAAACTCTCTTAGCGGATATATCACTCTTAAACTTACGAAAGCTTGGCCGGCAAAGCTTGAAACTTTTATAGAAAAGAAGTTCGAAAGTAATTTACAAAGTTCTAGATATGAGTCCAAAAGGCAGCCTGTTTGCACTTATTTTACATATATAATATATCTAACTAACTAAAATATGCACTGATAGAGTTATGTTTAGAATGAAAATCAATCTATATCGGAAACATATCACATATACATAAATGAATTCAGTGAACTGAATACTAAAAATAGCTATATATATATAGTATGTACAAATATACGTACATACACATAACAATTTAATTACACGTATGAGAATGTATGAAACTATTATATAAAACCGAAATAGTAAAAATATTAAGATCATAAGAAATCAACTTATTCGTTGTTGTGTTCATTGTTGCTGTGTTATTGAATCGTATATGTGTGTATTAGTATGCAATTAGACCAAAAAAAAGTTGGCTGGATCTACAAGTTTAATATGTTGAAATAATAAAGAAATTATACTATTTTCACAAAATTTTTTTTTAAATTTAAGAGCACTTCAAAACAATTATTTTATTTATTTATTAATTTTTTTTTTTTTTCAATTAAGTCGTACTTCGACTACATGCCAAAATATGGGTTGAAACTTCCGCAGCCATTTTTTTTTGCAATAGTAAATGAAAATAGCAATAAATATGATTATTTTATAAATGTAAAGATTATTTATTTACAAAAAATTTTTTTGAATTTTTCGCAAAAATAATATTTTTTTTAAAAGAGTTATGCGAAATTTATTAATATTTAACTGGAAATTATATTTTACTAATTATATTATTTATGCATACTGATACAAAAATATATTAATATGTTTACCCACACACACATGTATGTTAATGTGTTAATGTATCCTAAATAAAAAAAACACGTTTTAAAGAAACCTGAAAGAGAGAACGTATTTTTCTTTCTTAACATAACCTTTTTTTTAATAATTATGGAAGAGAAAATTTAATCAAAAACTTTTCCAGAAAAAAATCTTAACAGTTTTCTTCTCGACTTTCACTCCTGCTCTCTGAGAGCACTCAGCAGCAACTCGCTACTTACAGAGAAACTGTCAAGGTCAAAAGAAGAGCTGGTACGATGAGGTTAGCTGTGTGGTAGTGGAGAGAAAACTGGTTGTCTAAGTCGTGTTCAGCACCAACGCGCGCTGAAAGACAAACCGAGCATTGAAGAAAGCAAGACTCATTTGCAAACAGAAAAGAAACACCGAAGTAAGTACAAAGATTTAAAAAAACTGGACGACAGCGGTAATACTGGAAAATTGTTTAAAAAAATGTGGCGACTTACAGAAAATTTCAACTATTGAGGAAACACTGAACACTGAATGACAGTGAAAATGGAAGTACAGGAGATGGCGAGCTCGATTAAGATTAATTTAAATAAAAAATTAAGTTGAATATTTTAATTACGTTCCACCTCTGCGACTGCATTTCGGACATGAAATTAATGCCCCTCGTAAAAAAAACCCCATCAGCCGTTCGGAGGCGGCATAATATAAACTGTAGCATACGAAGAATTTTTTCGAAGAGCTTTTATTACACTCTGAGGGGTTTTAAAATTCCTTGCCATTGATCAGAAAGAATACACGTAAGAAAAGGATCGACACGCACCACCTGCCTCTATGGCTGAGTTTAGTATCCACGCAAAACTTATACCGTTGTGTAAGCTGACGTTGAGCAACACTAAAATCTTCGTCCGAATAGAGAAGAATGTCCGGAAGCTGTTAGATACCAGGATTATAATACAGGTTTCGGGTAAGGTCCTGTGACTTCTTCAACCTAATGCTAGAGAACTGAAGATCTGCTCATCATCGCCTTACAGCACTTCCTCAAACAGTATGATTTGGTTATTATCAGTGTATGCCAGCAGCTATAAATATTTCTTGAAGATTAAACCTCTTGTTGATTGTGTTATGTTGAAGAACTTACTACCACAAGCTTCACATTTTCTGCAAACCGAGCGGCTGGAGGAGAACCTTCTCAAATCTAATTTCAGATCTTTTCCGTATTAGTTTAAAAATCCCAAAAAAATTTTACGGAACAACCAAACTCAGCAATCCGATACTGAGGTTGTCCGATCAGCTCATTTGACTGTAGGCTTTACTTATTCACACAAATATTACCTTCAGCTTATGTGCTATGAAGACTTATTCCACAATACTTAGCTAACACTGGCTCATGTCGGTCAAAGCAAAAAAAATGTTTCAACCGTCAGGCATGCTCTCATCCGACCATATTTAGTATTGTTTGCAGTGATGAAGTGCCCGTGTATCTCTGATATCCAAAGGGGGATAAAGTAGTTCCAACCCTTGCCTAGAAGGGGTATAAACTTGGTTAGAAAGAGGGGACTTTTAGTGACATTCTACCTAAATTTGTAATAGAGGTTCTACGAGAAATGGAACTTTCTACAGTCGGTAATAAATGTTGTAGCGTATCTCATAATAGACAGGTAATTTTCCCAGAGATGGGCAGCGTTAGTATCACCAACCACACGACAAAAGTAACCTCTCAGGGTAGAGTTTTATCACCACTGCTGAGACATCCCAGGCAAACGAACTAGCAGAAGAAGGAAACCTTCTATCCATAATAAAACAGGCATGCGCCCTACGTAGATTTAACTTTGTCCACGGCAAAGAATGTGCTTAAACTGGCCAAATTAGCAGACTCAGGACGGCTCAATGAGATCACGAACAACGTGGTCAGACAGGTACGGCCAAAATTAGACACGAAAAAAATGAAAACATCTTATCCATATAGTCGTATGCTCTATTTCTTGAGATTGCCGGATAGTTGAATCCACAGCTCATTTTTCCATCGAGCTGCCTGATCGTGGGCGCCAGTGATTTCCCATTGAGATAATATTTGGGCGTGTCTTATACTGAAGTTCTTTCAAAGTTGAATTGCATTTAATTTAATTGCGCTGCAGCTCTCGTTTGTCATTTTTCGCATAGGTTTAGAGGAAGGGAATTGAGAAGAGTTAACAGTATTTTTGAGAGAGTTCATGGCAGTGCTGCTGTTATCAATTTACCAGCAACCATTTGCACCGGAAAGTAATTCTCTTAAGTTCCGGCCACCATATGATGACACTGTAGAGTAGAATTGGTCTAACTACCGATGTATAAATCAAGTACACGATATTCTTCCTTAGACCCCATCTTTTTCCCATTACCGTTTTGCAAGCTTAAAGGGTCATTATAGCCTGCCTTGACCGTGTGGCTCACAAAAGCTCTTTCCTAAACTTCATTGGGATACCGGGGCATTTTTTAAGTTAATGACTAAATGCTGTGGAGTAACCTTTATTTTGGACCGATGTAAAAGTACTATTTTTTACATTTATTTGTTAACTGGCAACTGAGGTTTGAAAAAAAATAGGTAAGCAAAACAAAATTCTTATCGTCGCCTCTATCAAAAAAAATCAAATATTTCATTAATAAAATATTGTTAGGGGCAGAGGAAGCGGATGCTTATTTCCTGCTTTTTTGCAGGCATGCAAATGTGTGACGTCCAGCAAAAAAAGCAAAACAAAAATTTTAATTATTAAATTATCAAATAAAAGCACAAAAACTTACTTACACGGTGTGTCCTAAAAATAATCGAACTTTATATTTAAATCATACAACATACAGCGCCATCTATTGAAAATTTGCAACATTAAAAAGATACATTCATCCCCTTTTAAACGCATCTAACATCATGTAAGTCGGATGACAGATGTAAAAGTGACAGCCATTTCAATAAAACCAAAAGTGTGCTAATGGTTCAAAAATAAAATGGAACAAAGAGCAAATATAAAATTTTGTGTCAAACTTGAATAAAAATTAATGAAAAAAGTTTATTGTGAGGATTATAGGAGTCGTACGCAAGTTTATACGTGATTTACACGATTTCAAAATGGTCGTGAGGATTTAAATGTCGACCCTAGAGCAGGACGTCCAGAAACTAGTAATCGTGCTGAACTGGTTAAAAAAAAGTTCGTGAAATTGCTGGTATCGATGCAAATTTTACTACGAGAATGTCGGCTGAGGAATTGAATACGACAAAAAACACTATTTGGAGAATTTTAACTGAAGATTTGGGGAAAAGAAAGGTCTGTGCGCGATTTGTTCCACATGAATTAAATGAAGACCAAAAAATCGCTCGAATTTTGAATTAAAAAAGGGATTTCTCTCATCGACCATCCTCCGTATTCGCCTGATCTATCACCATGTGACTATGTTTTATTTCCAAAACTGAAAACCAAGATGAAGGGAGTAACCGAGGTACTGAAGAACATTTCTTAAAATGACATAAACAAATCTATGCATGCGCTGGTGGATCGTTCCAAACGTTGTGTTGAGTCAAATGGAACCTATTTTGAATAAATAATAACTTTCAAACTTTATTTTATATCCAAAAATTTCGGTTATTTTTGGGACACACCGTGTATGTACATACATATGTGTGGCGCTAAGAGACAGATGTTTGTATGTATGGATGTATATATGTATGTATATGAATTTTATCAAATAAGATATTCCTTTAATGGAAATATCCATATGACTAATAATAATTTTAATAATAACGCTTAATATCTAACGGACGTTTATTCGAACTGACCGTTGCTTAATTAAAACTTTATCACTAATCTGATATTTACCAATACACGCACATACACATACACACGTCAAATATATTTTTAATCGTCGAATAGATAAAAATTAGTTAAAATTTTGCGTATAAAAGCCAAGTGGAACTCCAAAGAGGAGCTATTACGAAATTTTAACGGCAATAGAAGAAGTTTTGAAAACGTTTTCAAATCCAATATTAATCAAAATGAAAGGTAAACTTATTACATACATATTTACCTGTGTGTTTCATTAAAGTAGCATTAAATCGAAATATTTTCACTAAAAATAATACAATTATTCTTATTTCTTAAACATTTTAGTTTTCCAAATATTACTCTGTTTGATGTTGGCGCTGTTATTGGTAGCCCCAACCTTTTGTGCCGTCAGCATTCCAACTGTGCCAACCGCCGCCCCAACACCTGGAACAGTATCTGGCGATCCTGCTACCGATAGCACCGATGATGGTCCACCATCTGTGGCTGTAACTGAGGCACCTGCACCAACCTCTACTGTTGGAAGTTTATATGGCACAACAGCTGCCAAAAGCTCTTAATTTTTGTTTAGATATGCACATGTATGTGCATAAATAGATGGGTTTATATATTTATGCAAATACATACTTCTGAATAAACACAGTATATACATATGTACATACGTATATGCAATCTAAACATTTCTGTATGTTTAATAAAAAGGAGAAATGAGGCCCGTTTAAAAATAATTAATTTATTATAAAAAACTGTATATGTATTTATATAAAGGAAATGGAAATCAATTCCCAATTGGCGAAAATGAAAAGGAGGTCTCATTAAAACAACCCCTATGACAGCTGGCACTATGCACCAGAGCTGACCTGGATTTCCTCCGGCCAAGGGCTGTCATTCTTTCGGCAACCTGAGTCTAAGAACTCCCGTTCTGGGTTGGGCTGGGTTGCTCCAAATCTTTTCGATCAGAGCTGGCGTTGAACTCTACCCTGGTCCGAAAGATTACTTCTGCTGCATATGCAATAAGCGACTCCACCATTCTTCCATTCAACCAGAGCAATGGTTGGAGTCATCTTAAGTCCTAGTCAAGCCTTAAGACACATACGGAATGATCCATGCGTTAAGTGGTCCCTTGTGGTCCTTTCAACTGCACGCAAGCCTTCAAGACAGAGCTTTCTACACCCTTATCTAATCTAGGTAACCACCTCCGACCTCTGCTGTCCCACAGAACTCTCCGCAGCACGCTTCCTAAGCCGGGCTGGATTCAGCATCATCCGTAAGGATCGCGAACGATGACACATCATCTTATCGATGAGCTTGAAATATTTAATATTCTTATATATTCCTCCAGTTACATGATGTCAAGTTAGATATTGCCCTATACAGACGAGGCGAAACCCGTTTGGTTTTGAGTGACTTTAACTCACATAACGATCTTTGGCTTTGCAACCTTTCGAATTACCGTAAAGAAATGGTGATTGCAGAACAGATAGACGATTCGATCGTGAGAGGAAACCTCCTAACGTCGCCAAAAGCATCTATGTAGGTGTATGCTATGATATGATGGGTAAGCAATATCTGCTGTGATGTTACCATAGCAATCATCCCAACAGACATTTACTTGAAATCAAGCCACCACCAAGGCACATCAGGAAGAGAGTACTTGACTACAAGGACTGCATTCAGCACCATGTATAAGAACCGCGGGACACCCTGTTAATACCTTCTTGAACCCCCTTCAAGTGAATGTCGTTATCGAAGTCAAACAGCCACCCATTGCAGACGAAGAGCTCGAGCTGCCTCGAGAGTACCGCGTAATACTGGCAAAAATGAGATATGGATATTGTAGTGGACTTAATTCTTACTTATCCAGGCTTAACGCCGAGATACCAAACGACACTAACCACCTCTCTACATACACCTTAAAAACTGCTCATCTAATTTTCGGTAAATAAAATTGCAAAGACTTTTATCAAAACAAAAAAAAAACACCAAAAAACTTCCACTAGGCTAAGTACTTACATAAGTACGTATATATACATTTATTTAAAATGACAATCGAATGTGGAGTTTTTGCAGATCCATAAAATTCCGTATAGATTTAACAAGGAAATTATCCATATTAACAGCGATAGTCGAAATACACACACAAAATTTAATTATATTAGTATGTATACATTCTTAAGACACTTTAGACATTTTGTTAACTTATATTTACAATAAATAGTCTATACATTATATACACATTTTTTGTGTATTCTCATCATACGTGTGTTTAGCACTACAAATAATGCATAAATGCATTATAATACAATCATCTATACAACAATAAATTTGCCATACATACATACATATATTATATATAGTACACATGAAGGAATTTTTATAAATTTCTCTATATGCAATTATGAGCACATTAATGAGCACTCAAATCCTGAAGAAGGTTATCTGAATTTAACATTACGACGAAATGAACGACGCACTTCATGTTGTGCCTGATCACAATTCAACTCATCGCCATGACCATACTGAAAGAACGGTAAATGAAATTAGCACAAAGTAATTACTTTCGGTAACTATTATTTCTCTTACCTTGCAAAAGTTCTGTTCCAACAATTCCAAAGCAGTCATACGATCTTTTGGATCGTGTTGCAAACATTTATCCACAAACTCGTGCCCTTCCTGTGAGAGACTTTCGGGTGCTTCAGGCTTCTCGCCCATACCCACTTTGAACATAATTTGGAAATTCGAGTCAAATTGTGCCCAAGGACGCTGTTTTGAATAAATATACGAGAATATAATAAGTCCGTCTTTCATTCAATTATAATCAAGGTTCTCAAAATACATACTTGTCCCGATGCCATTTCAACAACCACACAGCCCACAGACCAAATATCCGCTGCACGACCGTGACCATCACTATTCGTTTTAGTAAATATCTCTGGCGCCATGTAAGCTATGGAAATAAGCAGATAAGAAATAAAGACTATTTTATAACCTTTTACTACATTTATTTTGAATTATGTTCTGTTCTGTTAGTGAAATTTAATTAAACGCAATGTATTTCAATGTAATTTATTTAATTAACTAAATTTAAACTGAATTATTAAAATTTATCTCGTTTTATTTTATCTGCTCTTTCTTTATTTTATTTTACTTTATTTTAATTAAATTTTTTTATTTAATTTTTATTCTTTATTTATTTTATTTTATTTTATTGCATTTAAATTTATTTTATTTTATTTCATTATATTTAATTTAATTTTATTTTATTATATTTAATTTAACTCCTTTCATTTGATTTTATTTTATTTTATTTTTTTCATTATATTTAATTTTATTTTATTTATTTTATTTTATAGATTTTTATTTTATTTAATTTTAATTTATTTTATTTTATTTCATATAATTTTACATCATTTTATTTAATTAAATTTAGTTTAATTGAATTTAATTTTACTTTAGTTTAATTTAATTAAAGTTAATTTTATTTTAATTTATTATCATTTAACTTAATTTGGGTTAATTTTATTTATTTTTTTATATATTTTGCTTTATATTTTATTTAATTTGTATTATTTACTTTACTGTAATCCTTACCTTGTGTTCCCACGTAGCCTTGCAGTTCGCCCGGGACAGTAGTATGCGCCTGTATTTTCACCGCTGAGCCAAAATCTCCTAATTTTAGACTATTACTGCCATCCACTAAAAATATATTCGCAGTCTTTATGTCACGATGAACAATACCATGTCTGTGTAATTCAGCAACACCTGACAATAGTTGCGCAGTGAAGCGGCGTACTAAACCTTCAGGTAAACCACCCGAGAGTTCAACGAGTGCTTCTAAAGTACCTTCAGAGCAGAGTTCCATAAAAATTAAAAGTTCTTCCTGTTAAATAAATTTGGTTTATAATAATTAATATTTGCATATGTATATGTATATATATGTAGACTTATATTAAAAGTTTTTATTAAAACTTAAAAACGTTCAACAATAAAAAGAGCGATTAGGTTACAGCTTCTTACCCTATGCACTTCGATGCCATAGTAGCGCACCAAATTCTTATGCTTAATGCCCTCCAGAATTTTAAGCTCTTCAGCGACATTTTTGAGAGCACGTGTTTCGCCTGGCTGTATTGCAATCTCTTTCATGGCCATCAATTCACCGGTATTGTTGTTGACAGCGGTATAAACCTTACCAAAACGACCTTGGCCAATCTGCAATAAATATTCACCTTTATTTGATAAATAAATATTTATTGGCTGTTTTGACTAACTCACTTTAATGCCACGATGCCAATGAAAGTTCACGCTACGCGCACGTATTTGCACCTTATCGCAAGTATTCAGCGCCTTAATATGACCAATTAAATTACGCTCACGTAGATTCTCTTCGATTTCCATATCCAAACGATTCACAGCATCTCGCACCCGTATTTGCCGAGGAGCCAACGACGAACTGCTACCGTTAGTTGGTGATTTCGAAATAGGTGAAGATTGTGGCACAATTAAACGTAATTGCTCATGTTTATCTGTCGTGCTATTAACATTATAATCCGGCGAGTCATGACCATCGCCGATCGTGTATTCTGGTGTGCCATCAGCAGCATTGCGCAACACTTCCTCTTTCAAACTGAATTGTGGGTGTAAAAATTTGTTATACTGCGGCGAACTTAATGGTGTATTCGGATTTGTGCCAGTGCCCACCGATATGGGCGTACGTGTCGGTGTACGAGACCGGCTGGTTGCCGGCGAAGACGTTTTACGTGTGCGTGGAGAAGCTTTTTTGCGTGCTATTTTCTCCGGTTCTGAGGTGATGCCAATAACATGCGAGATGCAGCGATCCATTTGTTTTTTTAAGTCCTCAAATTGTCGCTCATCAAGATGACGCGTAATTTGTGGATCGCAGGCAAGTATAAGAAACTCCAGACCTTGCGAAGCCCAACGAGGACGCATACCACGACCACGTTCGCAACGTTCCATAACGAAATGCATCCACATTTTAGCGAAATCAATTATACCTAACGCCAAGTCGACCTCACACGATTCATCTTTGTTCGCCATTATACGTTGCTCGAACAAGCGGATTACGTCTTTATTATATTCAAAACCAAATTTATAGCCTTGATGTAGAATCTCACGCGTTCGTGATAGTACTGCTTGCCTATCTTGATCGTCCAATTCAGACATTTGTTCCGGACAGCAGCGCTCCATTACACGTTCGATTATTTTCGACAATTTATTACGCACATCGAGTATATCCTTTTGCAGCAGCTTAAATGACTTCTTTATTTCAGCACAAACAAAATCCTGTTGTTGATTAATCACATCGTCTTCGTAATGTTCACGATGAAAATCGGTGGTCTCGACGTCACGGCAAAACATCTTGGCAAAGAAGAGTACCTTCACCGAACGTTCACGTTCAATGGTGAAGAGTGATTGGGTCTCTCTGCAAATTGTTAACAATTGCCATTTCAAATCACTTTCGCCATGTTGCGCTGTATCATCGATTTGAATGTCCAATTCAGATGCACGACTGACTAAACGATCCGATATGCTACGCAATAAATTACGTATAATGGTACAGAATTTTTTCGCAGCAATTGTATGCATGCCATTTATCATGGGACTAATAAGCTTGGTAAACATCCATTCTTTTTCCAAAGCAGACTTCTTATTACCCTCCGGTCCCGATTGCAACACCAATTGATCAATATAGTCCAAGTAGAGCTATAATAAAGAGATAACAATTATTTCAATTAAATCATTTTAAAGCACCTTTACGAAATAATCACCTCGAAAACTTTTCGCACAGTTTTGTCAAAGTGATTCAATATACCAATATAACGCTCTAACTCCACTTCGTTCTCAACTAGGGCTGTCGTTATGTGACGCTGATAACGTTCACGATGTGTTAAAGCTAATGTCAAGCCCTCACGCAACTCCTTCATGAGTTGTTCCAAACTTAATGGATTTGGTTTTGGTGGTCGTGTTTCCAAACGCATGCGCAAAAACTCATGCATAAATTGCAATGGTATGCCGCTAAGAAATACAAAAGAGGGAATGTATGTGGGCAGGTTTATGGACTTTGCCTCGTCACTCCAATAGCCGAAACGTCGTAGCTCATCTATCTGTTCACGACTTATTTCCGGTTCTAAACGTGGTACATCCTCATCGATGCGTTCCGTTTCGAAATCATAGTCTTCTGTGCCGGGCTTCTCCAACGAAATGTGTGCTTTGTACAGTACAACATTGTGCAATTTATTTAAAAAGGACAATGCCTTTGCGAGGCCACGAGATTTTAGTACATTCTCAATAAACTTTCTATAGATACAAAATAATGAAACGAAAATTGGTATTCGTTTTTTTTAATATTTTCTAAACATTTGTTATATAAACTCACCTGTAAAGCGCCGAAGAATTAGCATCATTACAGCTGGCTAGTGGTTCAACGCTAAAAATATTAATGTCGTGCATTGAACTCTTACGCAAAAGTGTGGCGGTTGCTTCGCATGACAAATGACTAACTTCAGTTGAGGTAGATCTACAAACGGTGAAGAATTTGTTAATAATAAAATTGTCAAAGCATTTACGAGATAAATGTGATGTTCAAAGCATACATTTGAGCAAAATAACCTACTCATTACTACTTGAGGTTTCACCCGGCACCTGCGCCACATCATTCAGCATGAACTGTACCTTAGGCGTGGAAAATATAGATGAAAGCTTTCGTTGAGGTGTTGCTTGACTAGAACTAGTTTTGGTTGAATCGACGGAGTTCACACCAGAATCGTCGTTTTCTAAACCAGAGGAGGTACCGCTATCGGTGCCCGCATAGGATGTTTGTACAGGCCAAGAGAATTTCTCAGATTGTAATCTAACAAAGCAGAAACAATAGCAAAAATAAAAGAATATACATTTTTTGCATGCATACACGTATGTATATTTATTGCCATACCTTGCTAATATTTTGCCGAAGCTACATAATTTCAATTGATTCTGACGTGTTATATTATACCACAAGCACATGGCCTTAATGCGTCCCACAAAATTCTCATTCTTATAAATCGGATGAAATGCACCCATGACTTGAGACGAAGGATACAACGCCTCTGCAGCTTCCAAACGCGTTAAAAGTTCTTCCACTTCTCTCATAGCAATCTCATGTTGATCCATGCAATCTTTACAGTATAAAGACATGCAGCCCGTGCACATTTTGCCCGGTTGTGGTGCTAAGGAACGGAGGTCAAAAATAAACAAAGAAACGAAGATTATTATAATTAACTTGGCAGAGAAAGATCAATGAAAACGTACAACTTGTATTGCTATCCGTACTAATGCCGCTGTCCACACTCATTTCGCTCATGGCACGCTGAAAGCGTGGCTGAAATTTATAGTTGATTATTTGTGATAGCAATTCAGGGACTGCTTGTCGTGCATTGAACAAGTATTTGTCCTGTTGCTCCATGGTCCGATCAGCCTGCCACGCTTGCAGCTCCAGCCAAATGAGATCTTTCAGTTCCGCCTGCCAGGTGTGCTCCTCATGTGAGAGCTAGACACAAACAAAAAAATTCATTTTTAATTAATTACATATGTACAATAGAAAATAGAGATAATGAAACGGATTTGTGCATGCATTGTGTTCTCCGAGCAGTCTAATTGCGGATAGGATGATTAAATTTGTCATAGATGGGAGTTGCCCTAGATGACTGCACAGAAGGTTTCGACCAAATTCGTTGAAGCCGTCCAAAAGAGAAAGCTGTTACATATGTAAGTATAAGCGGGCATTGCCAAGAGATCATGGTTGAGCGACAAGTTATTCCCCGCGGAATATATATTGCCTGGGTAATGAGGCTTTCAAGCAGTTACATAACCTAAACATTGGCTCTGTTGTTAATTCAACGGACTAAATACGCTGTACGGTTTAATATGTGCAAGTACAACCTCAAAATTGAGCACAAGAATATGGAGCTGAAAGTTTTTAATAGACTGTGTCTATTGCAGTAAGTACCTCAAGTCCGAGAGAGTAAGAGTTTCCGCAAGAGGATCGGTGGTTAAAGCTGATTGGTGTAAGCAACTACGTCTCTCAAGATACACCTAGGAGGTTATTGTGCTTCGAGGAAGTGTCTGCAGACATGATCTCTTAGCTCCTTGAATGCGTGCAGGAATATTTTGTTATGTAAGGGATGTGCCGCGTGATCCGGAAGTTTTCCCTGACTTATTCCTAACATCTCGATAAAGGTATATTTTTCTCCAGCTGTATGCTTTCGGCGACTCAAATACGTTTTTTCTGCAGGGAATATATGTAATCGAAATCATTGTCGAATACAACTATTGTGAGCATTTGAAATCAGAGAGAAAAATTCCTAGAAATCCATAGAGAAAAGAGAGCGCCACCTTGCGAAACTCTCGCGCAAATAGTCGGTGATTTAACTGGGAATTTATGACAATAATTAGGTAGGTAATTGAGACTGTGTAATTGAGCTCAGTTGTCGCAGAAAAGCTACGTCATAGTCTCAGTTGCTTTAAAATCCTTCTGGCATTCCTTACCTTAGCATCCTGCCGATCAACACTCCCCAATTTGATGAGATTGGCAAAGGTCTCATGAAATTCTTTACGTATATTCAAGCCAGGCGTACGTTCACTACGCAGCTGTAGTGCAAATGCCGACGCTGGAGCTGATGCGCGATAACCAATCGGTCGTGATGATACACACATGTAGCGATTGCAAGACTCTACTACTTTTGAAGATCCACGTAAACCTACTTCGGAATTGAGTGGCGTGCATTTATCCATGGACTCCAGATGAAATGAATTATCAAGCAAACTTGAACCGCGTGTACTATAACTGGTTGCCGTCGCCGATATCATGGAATTTTTGAGTTCACGTTCAGCATCACGCAACAAATCTTGTGCACGTTTACTGGTACGTTTATTCTCCTCATTAACGAACATTTCATTTAGCAGCGCACAATCCATGGTGTTGCGACGAAGGACACGCGAACGAGCCAAACGCGTTGCGCCTTTTTTCGGCGTACTCGGTGCAGTGTCTATTGCACTATTGGAATGCAAATAAGAGATGAGAGAATATTAGTAAGTATGTGCATTTTTATTTATGTATGTATATTTCGATAAAGACTTACGATCCCACAGAGGCGACAGCATGTGCCTTCTTCCGCTCCCAGTCACGACTTTTAATCTTCATTCTGGTGCGTGGTGGCGTCGTACCGTAGTCTTCAAACCGCGCTGCCAAATCATCTGTATGCGGAGAAAGCAACTCTTCATCCAAATCAGCAGGACGATAATTATTCACACTTCTATTTGCTGAGGGCTTTATGCGGAATTCAACCCTGAGAAATAAAAAAATGGGAAACAAATTAATCATGAGATTTCAAAATTAAATAAAACTTTTAATCAAATATGTAATAAAATAAATTAACCAAATCTATATATTATGTATCTATTTACATATGTATATACGTGTATGTAGGTCTAGTATAAAGTAGTCCACAATTTTTGCCATAGATGGCTTTCATGAACTCGCGTTCTATAGAGAGATGTAATTTTGTAATAAAAACGATGTCGAGGGAAGTGTTGATCACTTAACTCGCTATTGTTTGAACGCATGCCGAAGATGGACAACAGCCAAAGAGAAAATATGCTATATTCTACAATTGTTCTTCGATAAAGGCGGAACCAGCTGAAAATGTGAGTGGTTTTTATGATCTTTATACTGTAACAGTCAAGCGTTTCGGTAATATTGATGTAAAAGATTTATCACGGTGTGGAAGGTCGATTGTGGAAAATTTCGATAAAATAATGGAAATCGTCGAGTCTGATCAGCATGAACTGTTCTCAGTTTTGTAAATATTTAAGGTTCCCTTGAAAAGGTCTGTATAGACAAAGAAACTTGATGTATGAGTGGTACATAAGTTAAGGATAAAAACCGCAAAGATCGAAGAATTTCCATTGTCGAATCAATGCTGAATCGTAACAAAATCGACCCATTTCTGGAGCGGATGATGATTGGCGATTACAAGTGGGTCACATACGTATTTGTCTACAGCCTTCAATTTAATACAAAAAATAATGGACTACTATTTACTAGACATAATAAAAAGCATTTGTCCCGAATGACTGTGAGATCAATCCACAGCCTAAGCCACTAATTAAAGAGACCTGAATCTTGTAGCGTGTTTCTTGGTATTATTCCAGCACTCAATAATAAAGGTTTTTCTAGAAAGTGGACTCGAAACCAATCAATTTACATGGAATTTACAGAGCTAACGTTTTGCCTTAATTATCAATGGTAACAGACTTTCTTCCAGAAACTGGGCCCGGGACCGATCTATTCAGAAAAGACGAATTTATAGTTTGCCTCACATTTGGAATATAGATAACTCTTTGCCCAACTTAACATATAAGTAGTTTATGTTTTGGGGAAGTAGACCTGCTACTGATCTACGTGTATACGAAAAAATCGTTCCCCCCAAGGCTTATCGACAGATCAAAGTGCGAACTTTGTTTCCATAAAACATGATATATCAAAAGCTTTTCTTTTCATCTTTGTTTAACCTTGTAGGGCTAGCACTATAATTTTAATACAATAATTTATATATTATAAAAACATATTGTAAATAACTTTAAAAAATAAAACAAACAATCAAAAGTCTTATTAGAGTCATTTTCAAGTTCCATATGAGCGAGGTCGAGGGTGAAAGCTAGTATTAAATAAAACTGAATAAAATAAAACAAAAAGAATAAAATAAAGTAAATGAAAATAAAATAAAATAAAATAAAATGAAATAAAATAAAATAAAATAACATAAAATAAAATAAAATAAAATAAAATAAAATAAAATAAAATAAAATAAAATAAAATAAAANAATAATAAAATAATATTAAAGTAAATAAAACAATAATTTTTGTTATAAGTATTAAGTAAACTAAAGGCCTGGATTGTTTGTATGAATTGAATATTTTTGTTATCCAACAAAGAAATATGGTAGAAGGCACAGCTGTTTCGGACATCATCACATTTCGTTGAAGCCGTCAAAAAGAGAAAACTGTTACATATGTAAGTATAAGCGGGCATTGCCAAGAGATCATGGTTGAGTTAAAGCAAAGTAAAACAAAATAAAATAAAACGACATAAAATAAAATCAAATAAAACACAACCAAACAAGATATAACAAATAAAATATAACAGAAAATAATTAAAATAAGATTAAATAAAATAAAATAAATAAAATAAAATTAAATTAGATCAAAAATGGTAAAATAATAATATAAAATAAAACTAAATAAAATAAAACAGCAAAAAATTAAATCCAGTCATCACAACTTAATAAAATAAAATATATAAAATATAATACCAGAATAAAACTGATTTTAATTAAATAAAAATAATAATAATAAAATAAAATAAACTTTAGTAAAGTAAAATAAAATTCAATTAAAAAATAATAATAAAATAATATGAAATTTAATTCAATAAAAATTAAAAAGCAATAATAAAATAATATTAAAGTAAATAAAACAATAATTTTTGTTATAAGTATTAAGTAAACTAAAGGCCTGGATTGTTTGTATGAATTGAATATTTTTGTTATCCAACAAAGAAATATGGTAGAAGGCACAGCTGTTTCGGACATCATCACATTTCCTTAGCAGACTTTTTATGACAGAGATCGAACTAACAGATCCTGACTTAACAGCCATATAATCTGTTGTTTTATGAAATAAAACTAAATAAAGTAAAACAAGATAAAATAAAATCATTGAAACGAAAAACATAAAATATATTCGGTACATAAAAGTTAAATTAAAATAAAATAAAATAAATTAAGAAATAATAATAAAATAAATATAAATTAATTAAATTAAAAATTAATAATTTTCCAAAATGAAATAAATTGAAAGGAAATGGAGTGAAATAAAATAAAATAATGTAGCTTAAGAGATTAAAAATGTGGTTTTACAGGAATTCAAGCATAATTCATTAATTTTTAATTTTAAAGCACTTACGTAAATACAATCATATCAACAAATATGTCCGTATACACGTTTATGGCAGTCTGATTCTAAATTTCACAAATTGATTGCTCATATCCTCGTATACGTACATATGTACATTTGTATACAAAGTTATAAATATGTACGCTAAATCATTTTTAATTTGCATATGGCGCACACAGGAGGCCGTATAATTCATATAATTGCTAGGCTCTTAAGCTTTTATCTTATCTTAGCCTAACAGTGCTCCGGTCTCAAATTATTTCTGATAAGCTCACACTCATTTACATATGTATATAGCCAAAGCGCATCATGGTTTAATAATGCGCTTGCATATAAGTGAGTGTATATGATTATGCACATACTTATAAAACATATTTTTTCGCCGTTATCTATCCGGTGTTCACGCCTATAATTATACTTCAATATCGGCTATAACAGACTAATTGACAGTTTTGATTGACATAAAAAAAAAATTATGGCACGCTTTCATGGATTTCGTCATACATAAATATGCATGGATTACATATGTCACCTGTTTATAGGACTTACGTAAATTTTACTTAAATTTCATAATTTTTCGTATATTATTATTATTTAGTAAATTACAAAAGATTTCATCAGAAAATGTTTGCAGAGGCTACTAAGAGATGATTATGGCATATAAAAAGTATTTTTTTTTATGACCGATTCGTTTACCTTGGAATAATTTAGGAATTAATTGAAAAATCTCTGCTGAAAACCCGAAAAAGCTAATTTTCAGCAATATTTTGAAAGAGAGGAGGAGAAAGAGAGGAAGTGAATGTGGTAAACGAAATTTTCGGACAATAATTTACCATATTGAAATTTTCCAATGTTGTGACGAGCTTTCCAAAGCGACTGCAGTCTGAACACGTTAAACGGTGATGGAGATCGTGAAACAATCTTTGTATTTTATTTTTCTGAGTGTTTCTCCTATATGGTATACAAAAAATACCGAAGAAAAAAAATTTATTTAAAAAAAAAAATCCCTTTAAGTTGCCAAAAAAAAAATGTTTATATAATGCTTTTTTTGAAACATTTTTAGTACAAATAGAAGACAATTTAATACTCAAGCTAGATCTTCTTCTTCTTTATTGGCGTTGACACCGCTACGCGAATATAGCTTAATCAATATTATTCATCTCTTCTTTTCGTTGTTTGGCGCCAGTTGGATATACCAACTGAAGCCACGTCGCTCTCCACCTGATCCTTCCGTACCACATGACCTAGCCAGCTAGCCGCTGCTTCTTGATTCGCCGTATATCTCGTACAGCTCATCGTTCAATCGGCTACGGTATTCGTCGTTCTTAACTTGCAAAGGACTATAAATCTTACGAAAAACCTTGCTCTCAAAAACTGATCACACCAACTCATCACATGTTGACATCGTCCACGCTTCTGCGCCATTTAGTAGGACGGGCATGATGAGCGTCTTGAAGAGTTTGGTTTTCGTGCGCCGAGAGAGGACTTTACTTTCCAATTGCCTATCACCTGTGGGCAAGCGTGATTCTGAGTTGGGCTTCAAGGCTGATATTATATTTGATGTTGATAAGAATGTATCCCCATAGACGAAATTATCTACGACCTTGAAATTATGACTGTCAACAGTGACTTGGGAGCCAAATCGCGAATGCGATGACTATTTGATTGATGGCAGGCAACATTTCGCCTTGCCCTCAACCACTGCCAGAGCCATTTGCTTCGCTTCTGCATTGAGTCTGAAGAAAGCAGAACTAACAGCGCGGTTTTTTAGGCCAATAATGTCAACATCATCGGCGTACGCCAGCAGCTGTTCACTGAAACCAGATCACTTTGATTTTTTTTTCGATAGGACATATATTCTTTTTGCTATCACCGGCACTGTTTTTTATAAGATTTGTAAAAAGGATAACTCGCTTACAACTTATGCCGGAGCATTCGAATTTGCTCGACGCTCGCCCACTAAAACTGCTCTAGCTTTTAAAATATGTCGGATTGGCCACTAAAATTTTGAAGACATATTCTTGGATAGTTTTAGAATAGATTTAGGAAAAGATGCGATTTTTGAAGCCTCTAAAGCAGATATGCGACATTCAATATCTGCGAAATTTCTTACCGAGTAATAGCTTGTTGTTTCGTCAAATATGCTTACCTCAACTCAAAAGACAAATTATTTTTATTTAGCTAGCAAATGTATTGAACAAACTAAACACCGCAATGACATCTAACATTAATAATCAGCGGTTTAACCGAAATTAATCTTTCTTACTTATTATAACATACACACAAATGTCACCTGTTAAACCTGATTCAAAACTCATCTTCAAACATTAC